TTTTTTTTTTTTTTTTTGGAGTTTTAATTTTTTTATGTGGGTGGGTGTTTAGCCGGCATGTTTGCCTGTTCACAGCATGTATGCGATGCCTGAGGACAACAAAAGAGGGCGCCAGATCCCCTAGAACTGGAGTTACAGAACGTTGTTAGGTACCACGTGGGTGCTGGGACCCAAACCCCAGTCAACTGGAAGAGCAACCAGTTCATTTAACCACGGAGCCAACTCTCCATCCCCTCCCTTAGGAGTTTTATGAGAATGTAAGCACAAGCATATTCTGAGGTCAGCAACAGGACATTTGACCAGGTAAGACTGCTTTCATCAGCTGGGCATGGCGCCTCAGGCCAGTAATCCCAGCTCTTGGGATGCTGATGGAGAAAGATTGCTTGAGTTCAAGACCACTCTGGGCTACATAATGAGTTTTGGTCAGGTCTGGACTATAAAGTGAGATTGTCTCAAAAACAAACAAACAAACAAACAAACACCACACACACACACTCACACACAAATTTTCCTAAAAGATGAACAGTCTGTAGGAGCCAATGTCTTGTAGCATCATCATCAACAAAATCATTTGCATGTGCTATTGGAAGGAAGCAAAACAAAATCTTTAAAAAAATATATTATTTGTGTGTGTGTATGTGTGTGTGTGTGTGTGTGTAAGTTTTGTTTATGAGAATGTGGATATTAGCAGAGGCCAGAAGAGGTCATTATATCCCTTGTAGCTGGAGTTACTGGCAGTTGGGAGGTGCCTGATATGGCTGTTGGGAACTGAATTCTGTTCTCTACAAAAGTAGTAAATGCTCTTAACCACTGAGCCACATTTCCAGTCCAGCAAAATCTTACTGGTTGTCAAAGGGAAGGACTTTAAGGTTACATTTCCCTGTTACAATGCAAGTATATTAAAATTGTCCATAGAAATAAGAAAAGGGGATTCAGGCCCAGCGGCGGTCCACAGAGGTAGACGGGCCCAGCGGTGGAGACAAGCAGACGCAGGTAGGCCTGTGGGGGCGGACCGTGGAGGTAGACGGGCCCGGCGGCAGCGGCCGACATGGACATTCAGGCCCGGCGGCCTGCAGAGGTGGACAGGCCCGGTGGCAGCGGCAGACAGGGACATACAGGCCCGGCGGCAGCCGGCAGAGACATACAGGCCTGGTGGCAGCCCGCAGAGGTAGATGAGCCGGTGGCAGTGACAAGCAGAGGTAGGTAGACCCGCGGTGGCAGCCGGCAGAGACATACAGGCCAGGCGGCGGCCCGCAGAGGCAGAGAGACCCAGCAGCAGCTGACAGGGACATGCAGGCCTGGCGGCAGACCGCAGAGGTAGACAGGCCCAGGGACGGAGACAAGCAGACGCAGCTTGGAACAGGGACGCCTCTAACCCCAACACCTGGGGAAGAAGCTATCTCCGTGGGTCGGAACCAGAACGAATCTGAACACTCCATCTGAGGACAACCCAGGGCCCAGCTGCTGACCCTGTGAAACCCAACAACTTGGAGGTGTTGGTGAGACTACCC